GTCTTTGTGCTCTGCACCCCGCCACTGCGCCCGCCCGCGCCCGCTGTCCTATCTCCTTTAGGCGCCGGCTGGCCGCCTGCTGGCCGCCGGGCCCAGGGCCTCGCTGACAGCTGACCGCCCCAACGGCCCGGCGGCCTGCTCCCGCCGCAGTTGTACCACCATTCACACTAAGGCCTGCTTTGTGATTTCCACTGGGCATTATTCCAGCGTGCAAAAGCGAGTCGCATAACGGGTCAGGCAGACAGACGCGGTGCAAGGTCTGGATCACAGAGGGGGTTTTGTAGCACAAATTGTCTACATTACCGCTTACAGGAGAAGAGACAACCCCACCCCCCTATACCGCACCTGATAACTGATAACAGTGCGGGGTGTGCTCTCGCGTGTCTGTGTTTTGGTTGCTGCTGTGAGTGTCCGCGAAGGTGTCTGCTATCCACGTGTCTGCGCCGATCCAAAAATATTCACCCTCTCTTTGTCGAGCCCGGAGTGAGTCTCTGTCGATACAAGAGTTACAGAGTGCATCGGGAACAGTCTGGTGCCGCGGAGAGAAGCCTGTCCCCGGCTCTTCCATCCCTTTACTGGGGGAAAAGGTGGGTGGGGGGCTCTCCCCAGGCGAGCTACCACCATCTGCTGATGACTGCCGCGCTACGCTCCGCCACGCCTTGCAAACGAGTGGGATCGTCGCGCCGACTTGTATTTCTTCCCGTGTTTGTGTTTGCGACCTGCTCTCTCTCTCTCTCTCTCTCTCTCCCTCTCTTTCTCGTCACACCCCCTCCCCCCATCTCTCACTCGGGGGAGCTCCTATAGCAGCTGCACGAGAGTCGCCCGTTGATCTTTCCCGTGTCCGGCGCAGCTCGACTGCCGTCACCAACGGGCGGGGTATACCGGACAGAGCGAATAGTGTGATTGTGTGTGTGTTATCTCATCTGATGTCCCTCGCCTGCTCGTCTGTTCCAGGGAGGGTATGCGGCTGCAGGCCTGGTTGCAGAGATGCCGGGAGTCCCGGAGGCTGGTCCTCGTCATCGTGGCCATCGCCCTCCTCCTCGACAACATGCTGCTCACCACTGTCGGTAAGAGAGCCATAGAGGTCCAGGCCAGGCCGGGCCAGACGCCTGACGGGCCCCGGTTAGGCAGACCCGCTCGACACACGTGTCCGGCGGCCGGCCCAGCGTCCCGCCCGCAGGGGACCAAGAGCGGGCACCAGAGGGAGGGAGCTCCTCAAGAGATGCGTCTGCAAATATTGGCTGTAAATACTGACCGCTTCCGGTTTCGGGTCCATGTATGCTGGTGTAGGGTTAGGGTTAAAAAATCGGTACAGTAACCTAAAAAAAGATCAATGTTTTGAATGACGAACTAGGAAACAGTTACGTTATGCAATGTGTGCTTTACTTTTTGTATATATTTTTACGTTATTCACTTTTCCCCGCGAGTATAGGGTCCACTTGGATCAGCCTCACTTCAGCTTCACATCACTTCTCCTCTCTCTCTTCCTCCTTATTCTTCCACCCCCTGCTCTCTCTACCTCGCTTCTCCCGCGGGCCGCGCTAAGCCCTGCCGTCTCGCTCATCCCTTAAAACAATTCCATCTCTGATGCGGTCCCCTCGCTGCGGCTATACCCCTATGCGTTACCCCCCTCTCTCTCTCTCTCTCTCTCTCTCTCTCTCTCTCTCTCTCTCTCTCTCTCTCTCTCTCTCCCTCCCTTCACTCCTTTTCCCCGCACCCCATTCCCCCCACTCTACTATAGTAGACGCATCACTGTTCGCGGTCGCGTTACCACCTTTTGTAGAGAGCCATATCGCGTCATTGATTGCGTCTCGACGAGTCGGCCTATTATTTCCACCTGACTTCTCCTGCACATACCGGAAGCTTTGCTCGGTGGCGGGGCGGGGCAGAGTGTGGCGGGGTGGGGTGTGGCGGGGTAGCGAGGGGCGAAGGGAATCCAGTTCTTTATTAAACGCCGCGCGACCAACATGCCGCGACGAGGAGGAAGCTAAAGAGGCGGAGCGGCTGGGGAGGGGGGAAAAAAAAAGAAGGGAGGGGGGATGAAAGGAACAGAAGAAGTGAAAATGGAGGAGGAAGTGAAAGAGAAGGGGAGAGGGGGCGCGGCAGCGCGGGCGGGCGGAGCGGGCTTAGGAGAGGGTGGACCCTCGACTCGACTGGACCGCAGCAGTCCTCGTGGCGTGGAAGTGGTTCAGACCGGCGGGGGAGGCGGGGCAGGGCGGCGGGCTTC